TGATCTGCTGGTGATCTTGCTGAAGTTGATCGTACTTCGCAGTGTTTTCGTCGTGCTCAGAACGCAGGTTCTCGTGTTCTGCGGCAAGGGCGTCTAGTCCGAAGGCAGGGTCGTTGCGGCTCTCGTACAGCTCCTGCATGCCGCGGAAGGGGTAGGCCGCGAGGCGTTCTGCGATGTCCTTTGGCGAAACGCTGGTGAGGTGCTGCACCTCAAATGATGCGTGCAGACTGCCAAGGACGAACTGCAAGCGCGTGACGGCCGCAGGACGGACGTGGCAGGCGAGCGCGACGTCGTTGCGGAAGATGCGGTCCAGCTCGCGCGGCTTTTCCTGCAGCACGATGCTCCACTCCGCTTCCGGGAAGACCTTAGTGTGCGCCGAGGTCGTCGTCGGGGCATCCGCGGCGGCTGGAAGCTCCCACCGCTCGTCAAAGCGGGCCAACTCCGCCGCCGCTTTTTGTTGCTCGGCGAGCTGCTTTTCCAGCGCCTGCTGGGCCTCCCGCTGCTGGGCCAGTGTGGTGGAGAGGGCGGCGTTCGCCTCTTCTGCCTTCGTGATGGCCTCCAATGCAGCGGCGTGCTGGGCCTGCGCCTCTGTCAATGCGGTGGTGGTGGCCTCCAGGTTACGGTGCAGTGCATCGCCGGCGCTCTGTGCCGCTTCCAACGCGCAATCCTTGGAAGTCAACTCGCTCTCGAAAGTCTTCTTCGCCTCTTCCGCCTGCGTCGTGGCGGCATCCAGTTCAGTACGGAGGTCGTCCAGGGTCCTGCGTAGCGCTTCCGTCTCCGACGTCTGGCCGTCGAGCGCGCTTTGCAGACGCTCCTTCTCCCCTGTTACGGCTTCCTTTGCATGCGTCGCACACGCCAACTCCGTCTGCGTGATTTCAAGTTGCTCACGAAGCTTCTCGTTCTCCTGCTCTGCTGCGGCTGCCTCCTTTGACGCCGCCTCCAGCTCCGACGTGACGCTCGCAAGTGCATCCTTAGTTTTTTGGTCGTCGGCACGATGCTGCTCCGCTGCGGCGCTGGCAGCAGTCGACATCGCAGTAAACTCCGTCTCCGCCTGCTCCAGTTTCTTTCGCAGATCAACCACATCCGTCTCGTACTGCATTACACGGATCTTGATGGCGTCCATTTCCTGCTCGTGAGTCTTTGCAGCCTCCGTGGCCTCCGCTAGCTCACGCTTCGAAACCATCTGCCGCTCCACCCCTTGCTCCAGCGCTTTTCGAATCATCGCCCCGTAGGCCCGGCGCAGTTCGCGAATCAAGTCATGAAAGAAGTTGCAGCCGTCAAAGTGCCGCTCCTCAGCCTCACACAGCTCGAGCAGCGCGGCCTGCCGCAGCGTCTGTTCCGTCTCCACACTCACCTGCCACTCCTCGCGGTGGTTCTCCATGGAGCACTCACGGCGGCGCATCTCCTGGCGGAAGTTCTCGAGCGAGGCCTCGCGGGCCCGCAACTGTGCTTCCTTTTCCTTCTGCAGCGCGACCATGCGTCGGTTCTCCTTCTCCATCCGATCCGCCTGCGCGCGGCTGTCCGCCACCTGCTGCTCCAGCTCATCGGCCTTTTCAAGGAGCTCCAACCGCTCCGCCTCCGTCGCCTTCAGCATCAAGTCGCGGATTTCGTTCTTCTGCCGCTCCTTCTCCAGCATCTGCAGGTCCGCCGCGCGCTTCTGCGCCTCCGACTCCAGCAGCGCAAGCTTCTCCTCCAGTTCGCAGATGTAGGCAGGGTCGCCGCCGGTCATGTTGAGCCGCATGCTCGCCATCTGCTCCTCCAGCTCGCGGATGCGCCGCGCGCGCGGGTCCTCGTTCACCTGCGCCACATTGACGACGTCACGAGCTCGGGAGGCGTAACGCAGCGTGCTCAGCGTCTCGTCGTAGTTCAGCGCGCTCGGGCTCACCGTCGCAAGCATGAACGTCTTCGAGTTCCCGCCAAGCGAGTCCTTCAGGATGAACGTCAGCTTCGAGTCGCGGTAGGGCGGCAGCGTCCACTGCGACTTGCCCTTCTTCTCCGCCATGTCCGCAAGCGCGTCGATCACACGCCCCAGCGTCGTCAGCGACAGGTTGATGTGCGTGGCCTCCTTGAACTGCTGCCCCTCCACCTGCGACTGCGCAACGCGCTCCGACCCCGCAAGGTCCACAAGGTTCATCCGGCTGCTCTTGCCAGCAGTCTTGATCGTCTCGCCCGCCTTCGTCGTCATCGTCCGCTCCTCGTGCAGCACAAGCATCACGATCGCGTGGCTCCGGCTGCTCCGGTCGTTCATCTTCGTCGCCGCCGTGTGCCGCACGCCGTTGCCCACCTCCATCAGCCGCACCACGTCGTCGAGGCTCGCCACCTCCACAAGCCGCTGGCCCTCCAGGAACACGCCGCGGCTCGGGTGCTCGCGCACCTCCACGCACTCCTCGTCCGCGGCCTTCGCGCCCTTCCTCCGCTTCGCAAGCAGGTCCGACACCCGCTCGTTGTACACCTCCACGTACCCAAGCTCCACGGACCACCGCGAGTGCCCCTCCGCCTCCACGCTCGCCTTGCGCGCGAAGATCTCCAGGCAGATCCGCGGCGTCACGCCGCTGCCCTCGCCGCCCAGCGCGCTCACGTCCGCGCCCATCATCGTGTACGTCTTCCCGCTGCCTGTCTGCCCGTACGCGAACAGGCACGAGTTGAACCCGCCGAACGCGTGCTCCACCAGCGGGAACCCGATCTTCTGGAACACGTCCGCCTGCGTCGCCGGGCGGCTGCCGGACGCATCGGGCTTATCTGCAGACCAGAACACGTCATCGTACTGGAACGTTTTTTTCGTTTCGCTGGTCAACTGCTTTGGGTTTGGGTTGGTGATTGTCACGGTAGCTTTGCGGGAGTCTGTCGCGAGGATGGAGGTCATGTTGCTGCCCACCTCGCGCTGGTTGAAGGGCCGAACGCGGATCGAGACCTTCACGCTGTCCGACTCGGTGCGCGGAGGGGCGTCGGACACCATACTCCTCGCCGTCGGCGGGGGGGACCTGGACCCCTCATGCTTGGCTGATTTTCCTTTGCCCATCGTGTGCGCGACGGCCTGTCGTGTTGAGCAAAAACAGCTCGAGCCTTTCGCTCCTTCTCTTTTTCGTTTACTGGTTTTTGCTACAGCAGCGCAAACGACGTTGTAAACAGCACTGACAGATCTTTAAAACAAAAAAAAGGAGAATTGTTGTACCTCTGGGCTACCGTAGATGAAAAGCCGAAGAGTGAGAAATGGCCTCTAAAGCGCGCAATCCTTTCCTTTCCTTTTTTCTTTTGGGGAAGCGAAGAAGGCGTGTTCTTTTGAGGGCAGCTGCAACAAACAGGATTTCCGTGGCTGAATTTTATATATATATATAAAAACGCCCCGAGAGAAGATGCTTATTTGAACGGGTACGTGCGGGCGGTCCTTCTCTTTTCCTCTTTCTTTTCCCTCTGCAGAGGACGGCCACACCACCGCAAACGCAGCACCCAAACGAATCACAAGCGATGAGTTCTGCAAAAGAGGAACAACAACAACAAGAGAAAAAAAGGCGGCGGCGGCTGTACGCGGCGCTGATGCCGATCGAAGGACGGGGGCGCGGCAAGAACACAATAATAAAGGGAGGTGAGAAGGAACGGACAAGATGCGGACGGAGAACCAGTCGCCGTTGTCAGCAAGACGAGAAACAAGAAGAAAATAAAACCCAACGTGCGCTTTAACTATTTCACCGTCACAAACAAACGGTTCCACACTTGATACGACACAACTGTTGAGGCGGCCAACGATGGCGCGGTACACAGGGAGAGGGAGAGGCGTTACGTGGCAGTGGAGGAAGAACGACGACTCTTCGACGCTGCTGGCTGTAAAAGAAACAACAATAATCAACCACCAAAAACAAAAAGAAGAAACACCAATACGGCAAAGTAAAAGAAAAACTCTCGCTTCACTTGAAAGATCGCTGCGGTCAGCGACGACGGTGTTGAGTTCTGCTTCGTTCTTGCGAGAAGCGATGTGCTTTTGTTTTTTTTTTCGAAATGAAGAGGATATAAGAAACAACAGCAATTTGCGTTTAAAAAACACGAGAGGGTGTAAAAGGGAAAAAAGAAAAACCACAAGAAAGCGCTGTTTTGTTTCAGGAAACAAAAATTTCTCCGTCAATTGCGATAGAGAGAGAGAGAGAGAGAGGGCGTGCGGGAGTAAAACAAAGATAAAACGGGGGAAAAGATCTATGTAAACAGAAATGTAATAGAGGGAAAACAAAGGAAAGAAAAAAAGAGAGGTGCGAAGGAAAAGCTTAAGCGATGTCCGGTCTAAAGGAAGGAAGATAATATATGTGCACGTAGCTATGTATATGGTTATATATATATATATATATATATAACTGTGGACAGTGAAGGTTTGGTTTCTCTGACAAAGCTCACGAGAAGGCGTGGGGATGTAGAAAACAGCAAACGAATAAAGGATCTAAGGAAAGAAAGAAAAAAGAATAATCTAAGAAATCTAAATGGTCAAACTCCAGCGGCGATGCAGTGAACGGGCTGCGCTTTCTTATACCGGTGACTGCGGGATGGCAGCGAAGAAGAGAATACCGTTGTTGTTGTTGTTGTTTTGTTTTTGCAATGTGTGGCATGCGGGAGGTGTAGCAGCACCACAGAAGTTTTTTTTTTTACGCACAGAATTGAAGTAAGCCACATGTGTAGATGTACCGAGGGGGGAAGGAGGGAAGAGGGAAACAGCGGTAAGAGCGGGGGGGGAGTGAACAAGCGTGAATGAAAAAGCGAGATATATCTTCTTTAAAAGACCAGGATTACACCAAAAGTTGGGTAAAGCACAGTGAAGAGGCTGCGCAGAACTTCTTCACACCTAACCCAAGGAAGGATATGTCTGTTTTGTTGTTGTTTTGGACAACCAGGCAACAGTTATTAGCGGTCAGCGAAGAAGGAAACAAAAAAAGAGCAGTGCTTCTAACGCGGCATCAACGCAATGAACGTCATCCCGCACATGAAGTCGTTCCTTTTTTCCTCTCTTCGATCTTTCTGTCTTTCAATACTGTCGTGCTGCCGATCCGCAGCACACTCTACTCTGCTCCCTTTACTTGACTTAGTTTCTTAATCATTCTAAATTACAGCAGCAGCACATCTATGTATGTATAAAAGTAGTGGAATAAATCATTATTGTTTAGCAGTTATAAGCAACCGCACGTGGTGTGATACCGTCTCTCTGTGCATGTAGGAGTGGCAGCTACGCTGCATCCCTCCAGGAACTGGCCCATGCAAGCACAAGGAAAAAAGAAAAGCGCTTCCTACCCACGTATCGTGACATGAACATCAAACGCAAAGACAAACAAGGCATTCGCTGACTCCTTCACCTGTTTCTCAGTCGCTCCCCGCTGAGCGACACCCGACAGCGTCACTCATTCCAGTGCCTCCCTGCGCCGTAACAGAGCACCGAGCCGCGCCGTTACTGGGTAGCCCATCTCATTCGACGCCTTCTTCTCCAGTGGAGCCGGCACATTCTTGTTTAGCTCGCGGAACATATCCGCCGATCCAAACGATATCCCCTTCACTTGCATCGCGCGGTGCATGCTCAGCCGCACCTCCAGCTCGCCACATCGAGCTTTACAGTCCTGGCGAGACCGTTCCGCCGTACGCACCTCCTCCGCTAACTGCGACGCCGTTGCGTTAGCCTCCTTCAGCCGCTCAGCAGATTCCTTCGCTTCCCTTTCCAGTGCCCCGATGACATCCGACAACGTTGAGCACCTCTCTTTCAGACGTACAGCACACTCAGCGGATTCTCTGCCACCAGCAACAGCTTCGGCGTGCGCCTTGTCGAGCTTCGCGTGCTCGCCCTCCAGCTTCTTCAGCCGCGTCGACAGCTCGCCGCGCTCCGCCTCGGCGCTCGCCGCCTGCGTCCTCGAGTCCGCCAGCTGCTGCTCCAGCGCGGCCTTCGCGGCGTCCAGCTGCTTGTACGAGTCCCCCAGCTGGGCATGCGTGCTCTCAAGCTTCGCGTGCGCCTTGTCGAGCTTCGCGTGCTCGCCCTCCAGCTTCTTCAGCCGCGTCGACAGCTCGCCGCGCTCCGCCTCGGCGCTCGCCGCCTGCGTCCTCGAGTCCGCCAGCTGCTGCTCCAGCGCGGCCTTCGCGGCGTCCAGCTGCTTGTACGAGTCCCCCAGCTGGGCATGCGTGCTCTCAAGCTTCGCGTGCGCCTTGTCGAGCTTCGCGTGCTCGCCCTCCAGCTTCTTCAGCCGCGTCGACAGCTCGCCGCGCTCCGCCTCGGCGCTCGCCGCCTGCGTCCTCGAGTCCGCCAGCTGCTGCTCCAGCGCGGCCTTCGCGGCGTCCAGCTGCTTGTACGAGTCCCCCAGCTGGGCATGCGTGCTCTCAAGCTTCGCGTGCGCCTTGTCGAGCTTCGCGTGCTCGCCCTCCAGCTTCTTCAGCCGCGTCGACAGCTCGCCGCGCTCCGCCTCGGCGCTCGCCGCCTGCGTCCTCGAGTCCGCCAGCTGCTGCTCCAGCGCGGCCTTCGCGGCGTCCAGCTGCTTGTACGAGTCCCCCAGCTGGGCATGCGTGCTCTCAAGCTTCGCGTGCGCCTTGTCGAGCTTCGCGTGCTCGCCCTCCAGCTTCTTCAGCCGCGTCGACAGCTCGCCGCGCTCCGCCTCGGCGCTCGCCGCCTGCGTCCTCGAGTCCGCCAGCTGCTGCTCGAGCTGCTGTGCTCGATCGTGGTGATCGCGGAGCGCCTCTTCCCTTTCTGCCATCTGTTTCGTGTGAAGTACGTTGGCGACCTGAAGTGTTCTGTCCTTCTCGCTCAACTGCTGTTGGAGACGGTCTGTGTGGAGCGCAATCCGATGCTGTAGATTTTGGTGTTGAGCCGCATGCAGCGCGGCCAGTTGATCGTCGTGTTGCGACGAGAGGCTGTGCCGACTTTGGATCTCCTCTGCCACGACAGAAGTCTGCTGAACAGAGAACAGCAGTTCTTGCTGACTCCGCTTCAGCTGCGTTACCAGTCGCTCAATGTAGGCGGACTGTTGTCGTTGCTCGACTGCCCACTGTTCCTCTAGTTGTCGCTTTTCCTCAACGAGACTATGGCGTTGCGCGTCCGACTGCTTCTTGTCTTGAAGCGCTTGCTCCAGTCGGCTTTGATGGGCACGGAGCGACGTCATCACCGACTCGCGCGCTCGACGTTCTTCTTCCAAGTTGCGCACTGTTTCCCTCAGCACCCTCTCCTTTTCTGCCACCAGCAGCTGCTGCTCTGCGACGGCCGCCTCCTTCGCCGCCATCTCCTCCATCAGCTCACGCTCCTTGCGCGCCTGCTCCTCCTTCAGACGCAGGTTCTGCGCCTGCATCTCGTCCGCCTGCCGCCGCGTCGCACTCATCTCCTGCTGCAGCGCAGCAGCACGCGACTCCAGCTCGCTCCTCTCCGCCTCCGTCGCCCGCAGCAGCCGCTCCTGCAGCTGGTTGTGCTCACGCTCCTTCTCCAGCGCCTGCAGGTCCGCCGCGCGCTTCTGCGCCTCCGCCTCCAGCAGCGCAAGCTTCTCCTCCAGCTCCGACACGTACGCAGGGTCCGCAGCGCTCAGGTTCTCGCGCATGCTCGCCATCTGCTCCTCCAGCTCGCGGATGCGCCGCGCGCGCGGGTCCTCGTTCACCTGCGCAACCGTCACGATCTCGCGCGCGCGGGAGGCGTAACGCAGCGTGCTCAGCGTCTCGTCGTAGTTCAGCGCGCTCGGGCTCACCGTCGCAAGCATGAACGTCTTCGAGTTCCCGCCAAGCGAGTCCTTCAGGATGAACGTCAGCTTCGAGTCGCGGTAGGGCGGCAGCGTCCACTGCGACTTGCCCTTCTTCTCCGCCATGTCCGCAAGCGCGTCGATCACACGCCCCAGCGTCGTCAGCGACAGGTTGATGTGCGTGGCCTCCTTGAACTGCTGCCCCTCCACCTGCGACTGCGCAACGCGCTCCGACCCCGCAAGGTCCACAAGGTTCATCCGGCTGCTCTTGCCAGCAGTCTTGATCGTCTCGCCCGCCTTCGTCGTCATCGTCCGCTCCTCGTGCAGCACAAGCATCACGATCGCGTGGCTCCGGCTGCTCCGGTCGTTCATCTTCGTCGCCGCCGTGTGCCGCACGCCGTTGCCCACCTCCATCAGCCGCACCACGTCGTCGAGGCTCGCCACCTCCACAAGCCGCTGGCCCTCCAGGAACACGCCGCGGCTCGGGTGCTCGCGCACCTCCACGCACTCCTCGTCCGCGGCCTTCGCGCCCTTCCTCCGCTTCGCAAGCAGGTCCGACACCCGCTCGTTGTACACCTCCACGTACCCAAGCTCCACGGACCACCGCGAGTGCCCCTCCGCCTCCACGCTCGCCTTGCGCGCGAAGATCTCCAGGCAGATCCGCGGCGTCACGCCGCTGCCCTCGCCGCCCAGCGCGCTCACGTCCGCGCCCATCATCGTGTACGTCTTCCCGCTGCCTGTCTGCCCGTACGCGAACAGGCACGAGTTGAACCCGCCGAACGCGTGCTCCACCAGCGGGAACCCGATCTTCTGGAACACGTCCGCCTGCGTCGCCGGGCGGCTGCCGGACGCATCGGGCTGTCCACAGACCAGAACACGTGATCGAACTGGAAGTCCTGTGCCGCCCTCCGGCTCCCCAACGCTCCATCAGCTCCCACATCGGCGGTGCAGGTGCCGCTGCTGCTGGCCACCGGCGTCACCGTGACCACGGCTGTTGCTTGGTTGGCCACCACCGTGATCAGCGATCCGTCGGCGGCTTTCTTTTCTCGGGGTTCGAGGGGACGCACCCGCACGGAGACCTGCACTCGCTCTTTTTCCGACTTTCGTGCGATTGAGCGCGCCATGATCCGTGGAGAGACTGGCTGGAGTTGGGCGAGCTCGCATGCAGGGAAAGCCGATCAGCCAGGTGGCGTGAGAGGAGCGAGTGATGGTGGCGATAATCGGCCAACCACTTAACGGTCCCCAACAGCAAAAGAGTGTTCGATAAAAAAAAGTAGCGCGTTGAACATGTATGTTTCTTTCTTCTTCTGTTGAAGAGTGATGTTCGCTGATCAAATTCGTCCCGACCGCCAACCTGCAGCTTCACGTTTCGACTCGTGGAAACGATAGAGGGAAGATCTCAAGCTCCTCTGTCGGTCTCGCCCTCCGCGCTACGTCGTGTGTCGTTGGACGCGGTTTAGAATTGCAGCGTGTGTGTGTGTGTGTGTGTGTATGTTGGTGGCTGTGTATTATTACGGGGTTTTTCCGGGTTTTGTTTGGTTAACGCTATCAGAGGAAGAAAAGAAAGCTGAAATTTCCAAACAGTAGCAAAACAAATAGGTCTTGTTTGTCTTTTAGACGGAAAACAAAGATGGCGGAGGGGTGATAAGAAGAGAGGGAAAAAAGGGGGGGCCGTACGTAACTAACGACGCCGATGGTTTTTATCCTCTTCCTTTGTTTCGTTTTGAAGCAGTGCGCACAAGCAGTGGTGAGAATCGCACGCTGGTGTTGCGGACCGCAAAGAGAGAGCTTGAAGGGTCAGGCTCTTCTACGCGAATCGCGTGCCTACAAAGCGTCTGGGTCGCACGTCTGGAATAAAACTATCAGGCGACGTACGAGGACGCTTTTGAAAAGAAAAAAATAATAATAATAAGATCGGTGGAAGAAATGACGAGGATGATGACGAAAAGGTCTTTATTAAAAAATAATCAAAAGCGGAAATAACGTGTTTTTTTTTTAAAGCAACTAAACCAGACAAATTATGATCGAACTCCGAAATACGAAACACACAGAGAGAGAAAAAAGGCGATGAAGGCGTAACGCAGTCGCCCCTCTTTTTGAAGTTAACAGGAACGTGATAAGTTCCACAACACACAAACGAAGGGCCAACAGACAGCAGGATAAGTGGGAAAGAAGCAAAGGGAAAAATATTCCAGCTATGTCACTCAAGCAATAAAGAAAAGACGGTACGCGCTCGAAGTCAGGTGAGCGCATTCATTGCGTGAGTGGAATGCAAACCACAGCGCACAAGTCCGTGTGAAGACAGTGGTTGGGTTGCTGCAGTTCAGCGTTAGGCGCCTTTCGATGTTGTTGTTTCTTTCTCGCTAACGGTTCTACCCGACGAGAACGCCTATGATGCCTGC